GGCATTGCGGCTGTCTTTGGGGTGGAAAAGCTCGATCAAAGCCCTGCGGACAGATCCAGCCATGGATAGAATAGATAAACACACCATATTCTCTATCTATAGTAGAATCCTAGAGTTTGAAGGGACCTCCAGAGGTCATCTAGTCCAACCTCTGGGGAAGTGCAATCAAGGCCCTGCGGACAGATCCAGCCATAGATATAATAGATAAATACACTATTCTCTATCTATAGTAGAATCCTAGAGTTTGAAGGGGCACCCAAAGGACATCTAGTCCGACCCCCTTCTTGCCAGGTAGAGAGTGCCACCATTTGAGCGGCTCTTCTTACAATCTTCCTCATACTGTCCTTCGCCCCCTTTCTTCTTGCCGTTGCTTACCTTTTCTTCTTGGGAAGAAGGAAGGAAGGGAGAATGGCCCCCAATACCAGCCGAGGACCGCCTTGGGTGGAGAAATCCTTCCCGTTCACTCAGAAGCAAATATTGACTTTCGGCGTCCGGTTAAACATTTGTGGGCTGCAGGGCCAAAGTGCGTCCCCCGCTATCCTGATCGAGAGAGGATGCACATCTCTGCTGCTGAACTGCCTTGGATCAATACTATGGAGTTTTGCAAGGTCTTGAGCCTTCCCGACCAAAGGACGTAGGTGGCAAACTACAAATCCCAGTAGGCATTGTATTGCTTTGGAGCATGGAAACGCTATTAAAATCCTCAATCGACAAGGGCCATTGCAAGCTGCGCAGTGTGTATCCCTATTCACGTGTGTGTACAATCCCCTACAGACCCTATTCAAGCCCTCAATTGCACACACAACGGGCTACAAGGGCCATTGCAAGCTGTGCAGTGCATATCCCTATTCACATGTGTGTACAACCCCCTGCAAACCTCATTCAAGCCCTAAATTGCACACACAACAGACTACAAGGGCCATTGCAAGCTGCGTAGTGCGTATCCTTATTTGCATGTATGTACAATCCCCTGCAGACCCTATTAAAGCCCTCAACTGCACGCATAATGGGCTACAAGGGCCATTGCAAGCTGCGCAGTGTGTATCCCTATTTCCATGTGTGTACAACCCCCTGAAAACCTCATTCAAGCACTCAATTGCACACACGATGGACTGCAAGGGCCATTGCAAGCTGCGCAGTGCATATCCCTATTCGTATGTGTGTAGAGTTCCCTGCAAACCTTATTCAAGCCCTCAATTGCATACACAATGTGCTACAAGGGCCGTTGCAAGCTGCGCAGTGCGTATCCCTATTCATATGTGTGTAGTCCCATGCAAACCCTATTCAAGCCCTCAATCGCACACACAACAGGCTACAAGGGCCATTGCAAGCTGCACACTATGTATCCCTATTTGTATGTGTGTACAACCCCCTGCAAACCCTATTCAAGCCCTCAATTGCACACACAACAGACTACAAGGGCCATTGCAAGCTGCGCAGTGCATATCCCTATTCGCATGTGTGTACAACCCCCTGCAAACCTCATTCAAGCCCTCAATTGCACACACGATGGACTACAAGGGTCATTGCAAGCTGCGCAGTGCGTATCCCTATTTGTATGTGTGTAGAGTCCCCTGCAAACCCTATTCAAGCCCTCAATTGCACACACAACATGCTACAAGGGACATTCCAATCTGCGCAGTGCATATCCTTATTTGCATGTGTGTACAACCCCCTGCAAACCTCATTCAAGCCCTCAATTGCACACACAACAGGCTACAAGGGCCATTGCAAGCTGCACACTATGTATCCCTATTTGCATGTGTGTACAACCCCCTGCAAACCCTATTCAAGCCACCAATTGCACACACAACGGACTACAAGGGCCATTGCAAGCTGCGCAGTGTGTATCCCTATGCGTATGTGTGTAGAGTCCCCTGCAAACCCTATTCAAGCCCTCAATTGCACACACGATGGACTACAAGGGCCATTGCAAGCTGCGCAGTGCGTATCCCTATTTGCATGTATGTACAACCCCGTGCAAACCCTATTCAAGCCCTCAATTGCACACACGACGGGCAACATGGGCCATTGCAAGCTCTGCAACATGTATCCCAATTACAATTCCCTGGAAGCCCTATTGAAGTCCTCAATTGCACACAAACGACAACAAGGGGCATTGCAAGCTCCACAGTGTTTATTCCTATTTGCATGTTTGTACAATCGATTGCAACCCATTTCTGGGCAAGATGCAAGTGCTTTGTTTATATAGGGCTTTCCCCCAAACTTTTCCCCGAGTGGCCAGGTCCGGTGAGGATAAGGTGGTCAAGCCAGGAGGCGGAGGGCACCGTTGTCGGAGCCCAGGAGCAGCTGGCCCTTGGTAGGCAGCACCGCCAGGCTGGTGAGGGTCCCCCGGAAGTTCTCAGAGCTGAGCTTGGTGAAGCTGGGCGGAAGCGGCTCCTGCAGGGCGTAGACCCCAATGCGGTTGCCCGCCGTCCCGGCCACCACCTGCCCGCCCGGGAAGAGGTCAAAGGCGTGCACCGGCTCCCAGGGAGACTTG